TCAGAGGGAGAAATGATTAAGCCTCAGATCTGTCAAAAAGTTCTCATAAATAAGTAATTCTGTGCCGCCTTAATGGGCTTTGTAAATTACTCATTCGTGCCATTGCAGGATCGCTCTCAGGGGTAAGTTCCTCACACCTGCTGGCTGACTGCTGCGGTCTGGGCAGGACAGGACGAATTCTGCTAGCCAGCTGGGCAGATGCCCAGGTGCCAGGCCACCTGGCAGAGTCCCCAGGGATGAGGTGCCTGGAACGAACTCACCCTCCTGTGTCACCTCACAAGAATGTGGGGTCAGAGGTGGACTGGCCTTCTTGGCCACCTGGAGGTTTGTCCTGCAGGGTAACTGCAGCTCCAGTGCCCAGGGCTCTTGTCCTTCAGACATTCTCCCAGCAAGCACGCTCTTAGCACCTCCCATGTCCCAGGCTCTGTGCTGAGAAACCAAAAACACAGACGTGTGCCCTGGGAGTTCAACCTAACGATGAAGACAAGAATGCACATACAGTGTGATCAGTGCCACTGGATCGAGTCCCCTGGAGAAATATCTCACACAGCTGGAGACACTGGAGAAGATGCCAAAGTGTGGAGTTTAAGAGTATTCACTGGGCCCGAGAGGCCTGGTTCCAACTCAGTCAAGAAGGGCTGTGCTAACAAACAGCCCTACAGCCTCAGGGTCGGACAACCACAAAGACTTACTGCAGCTCAGCTGAGGGCTCTGCTCCACCCCCGCCTGTACCCCCAGGACCCAGGCTGATGGGATGGCACCACCGGGGACAGTGCCACGGCTGCTGTGGCCCAGGAAAAAGAGAACGTGGCAGAGCACACCCTGGCTCCTGGAGCTGCTGGCTGGAAGGGTCACTTCTCCTCCCGTTCCACCGGCCAGAGCAAGTCATATAGTTGTGCTCCAGTTCCACTGAGGCAACTTGGAGAAAGAAAGACAGAAAGAGAAAGAAAGAGAAAGGCAGGAAGAGAAAGGGAGGGGGCAGACACAGAGACTGAGAGAGCGAGAGAAGTCTTTGTGAACAGCCCTAAGGCTTACCCGAGTGCAAATTTGGACTCTGAATGGACCAGCCGTGCAGCCATGGGCAAGTTCCTAAACTTCTTTATCTTTCAATTTCTTCAGCTATGAAATGGGGGTAATAGTAGTTAGGTACTAGTTTTGGGGGAACTAAGTGAGATCACGCACGTTATACCCTTAGCACTGTGCCTGGCGCATGGTAAGTGCTTGGCGGCTTGGGTGGCTTTTGTTGTTACGGTTCCCGCTAACACTGGTAATACTAGTATTAGCAGCAGCAGCATCCTAGTAGAAGTGGACATGGACGCTGAACATTGAGGAGTGTTCACACATTGAAGAGTCACACCTGTGAACACACACGCACAGACACATACACGCACACTCACTTTCACGGGTGAGCTTCCTCTGGGGCCACGACATCCTCCCAGCACCCGCTCGCCATCACCACCAACACCACCTTCGGCCGGAAGCAGACGGCGGTGACAGTGGAGCATCCACCCTGAGCCGCTGTGCCACCGTCTTCCGTCCTCTCCACACACACTCTAAGCTTTTGCCTCGTACAGGTCACTCACCCACTCCAGGCCTCAGGTACCTACTTCACTGCAAATCCATAGCAACAAGAGCATCTAAAGCCCCAAGAGCTGGGCCAGATGGTCTCTTGAGCTTCCCTTCCATGCCCAGGCCTTCGATTCTCCTCTCCAACTGCCGCCACCCCCAAGCCTGGCAGCCCCCTGGACCACCTACCTCCCTGGCTCAGGCCTGGGTTCCCGGTGGCCCGGGAAGAAGGGGAGGAGCATCAGATGTGACATGGGCGTCCTCTGCCTTCCTGGAGGCCAGGGAGACATCTGTTCCCACGGCTCTCGCGTCAGCCCAACACATGTGTGCCCAGGGAACAGGGGGAGAGATGGTGTAAATCGGCTTGTTTTTCTGAGTGTTTCAAGCTGACTGGTAGAGACCCAAGCCCACAGTTGGGAGGCAGGCCCTGAACTGTCGCCGACCGCCACGGCTCTGTGCCTCCTTCAGCTTCCACGGGGACCACGAGGCTTCATGAACTGCCTGTTGTTTAGCTCATCGAGGGTACCATTCTGGGTCCACAGGTCACGGCCTTGCCCACTCTGCCTGAGCAAGCCCCGGCAGCCTTGAGACTTTACGTTCTGCTCTAGAACAGAGGACGTGATTTCCCATCTTTCATAATCCAGCCGACTCACACCTACTTACAGCCCGGCAGGCTTTCAGCGCACAGGACCATCAGTCAATTCTTTATTCGGTTCATTCCACCGCAAGTCCCTCCCCTGAACCAGGGCTGAGCTGGGAGAGGCGGGGGCTCAGACATCTCTGCGGTGCGGGCTGTGCCTCCTGGCAATGTGCCGCCAGTTGGGGGTAATAAGACATGGGTATTGGGAAATGATATAAATCAAAGGTCCTACAGGTGTCAAGGGTCAGTAGAAGAATGACAGCCCTCTCTCTGATCACAAGCAGCAGGTAAAGGAGAGGCTGTGACCTCAGAAGATTCCCCACCCACTTTCCAGCCCTGTGGGCATGGTCCTGGGCTTGGAGATAGCAGGCACTTTAGGGCAGTCAGGGTCTGAACACTGAGCAGAAGTGAACTGGAAGGAGGGGAGACAGGAGAGGGCGAGAATGATGCTGTCGGTCAGGTGCCCGTCTGCGTACCCCTCGCGTGCAAGGGAGATCCAGGCCTAGGGGGACAGGGATAAAGATGGGGAAATGGACAACTTTTTGCTTCTCTCGTGAACTACTTCTCACTTTAAAATCAGAACAAATATTTGTTGCTTATCTAGTATGTGTCATGCACCAGGTTAGACACTTTTGTTCTATGATCTATGGATGTGTGTTGTAAACCCTACTTCCCAGATAAACAAAATGAGGCTCAAAGAAGGAACTGACTCACACATCGACGAGTGTGGAAGCAGGACACACAATCAGGTCTTCTGAATCCTGCCTCCAGGACTTTGCAGCTTCCCTTACAACCATCCTCTGTAGGTGATCACGGTAAACCTCTTAAAACACTCATCACGTTGTTTTGTTCATCAGCCTAAAACCCATCAATGGCTCTCAGTCCCCAGAATGAAGCCAAAATCCTCAGTATGACGTACAAGTCGCTCCAGGTCCGGCTAGCGATGTC